ATTTTTAGTAGAGACGGGGTTTCACCATGTTGACCAGGATGGTCTCGATCTCTTGACCTCGTGATCCACCCGCCTCGGCCTCCCAAAGTGCTTGGGATTACAGGCGTGAGCCACCGTGCCCGGCCCAAAAATGTATAGTTTTTTAATACTTCTATCTAGTTTTTACTATGTTGCTAAAAATGACCCTATCCCATAGATGGGATAGGTTTAAGTTAGTGGCATAATGCTTCATGGAATGCACAATAGTCTTAACATGTTAAAAATATTTAATTAAAAAATTAAGTTCACACATAATCTGAAAAATTTTAAATGTATTCCATTTTATTACATAAAAGTACAAGTAGTCAAATGATATATTATTAAGTTTAATTTTAACAAAACTTAAAAATGTTTCACTCACTATAAGGCAAAAGAATATTACTCTGGACACCCACCTCATGCACCACTCAGTATAAGTTAACCACAAATAGCCTCTCCACTTAGATTTTCATCATGCATGTTACATTTTAATGTCCTTGCTCTTCCATGGAAAATGTCATACATAACATCTACCTAAAAATAAAAAATCTCTTATATCTTTGATGCAATGACAACTGATCACGTTTTCACATGTGAATACAATAGAAATTAAGAAATAGCATGAAATAATTTGAGAGTTGAATTACATCATTAGTAGTTTTTCAAAAAATCTGTACTTCTTTTCAAGGCAAAAATATACTTTGAATGTAATTACACCCTTTCAAAAAATTTTCTACTTTTAAAGTTATATACAAATAAATTTATCTACCAATGTTAGTTTGGATTTTTTTATCTTCAGCACTCTGATAGAGTATAATGTCTGAAATGTCAGTACCTTAGATATTTCTACTGATATTTACATAGACAATTTTGGATTAAATGTTTTAAATATATACTGCATCTGCAAAAATATATCTTAGTATGAACCCTCTGGTGTTGTCTAAGTTGTAGTTTTAGATATTTTTTTTCTCCAAATTTGCAGGTTTTTTCTCCAATCTAAATTCCCTGATGCTGAACAAAGTTTAAGCGACTGCTTTAGGGATTTCTCTAGTACAAAATGTGTACAACAAGATCTGTGATACAAGTAAAATACTATAACCCTCTTTATATTTGTAATGTTTGTCTTCAAAATAAATATTCTTTTTTTTTTTTTTTGATTTTTTTTTGGAGACAGTGTTGCTCTTGCTTCCCAAACTGGAGTGCAATGGCGAAATCTTGGCTCACTGCAATCTCTGCCTCCCAGGTTCATGCAATTCTCCTGCCCCAGCCTCCCCATGCCAGGCTAATTTTGTATTTTTAGTAGAGATGGAATTCCACTGTGTTGTCCAGGCTGGTCTCGAACTCCTGACCTTGTGATCCTCTCACCTCGGCCTCCCAAAGTGCCGGGATTGCAGGCGTGAGACACCGTGTCCGGACCAAAATAAATATTCTTTTTTTTTTTTTTTTTTTTT